TGTCACAGTCTTTCACCTCGAAAAAATTAATTGAAATTGCTAACACTTATTTCCCACGGAAATTTCAACAGAAAAAAAAACAACAGAGAAAGAACTCTATTAAAAACAAATGAATCCATTCAACACATGCATGCTTATCGTATCACTCAGATTTTTATATCGGCGTTTCTCTTTCTTTCTAATTGGGAAGCATTTGATCTAATTGAGAATCGTTTTTCGCAGTCGCATGCTCAATATCATTATTTGGTTCTTTGGTTAAACTGTCTGTTTTGCTGATATTTGGCATGCTGTTGCTCGTTTTAATTTCATTGACGCCGCCAGGCGGGACTTCGTTCAGCACCAAGACTGATTGTGATGGATTACGATGGTGATCATCGACGTTCGTTGGATTCAATCGACTCATGTCATTGCCGTTTGAACTGCAATTGTCCGATGCTGAACTGGTCAACTGGGTCTCTTCACACGACGCTTCTTCGATGGTTTTATTGGATAAGTGAATTTTATAGAAGTTACCGTTCATTGCCGCTGCTGCCGTAGGATCGAATACATTCTCTAGTGAGTAGTAAAAGTCGTTTCCACTTGTCGATCGCTTATATTTACTGCGTTTGGGTAATGTGTTGAGTCGAATGTATCCATGAGCTGAATTGATTGCCATATTCGGCTCGTCGCTATTTAACATTCGAGTCTTTTCGGTATTAATTGCAATGGTTTCATCCTCGTCATCATCGTCGTCATCGTCGATGCCAATGCGTCGACGACGACGATCAATCTCCTGTTCAAGATTCGCCTCCAGACGATACACATCAAAATCAAACTTACACATCGATTCTGATGGCTTCATACAATCGGAGAATGTGTTTAAATTCTCTCGAATGATATTGATGTGCATCGGTGAGAGTTGCAACTGAGGCTGTTCCACCGTATCATTTGGCGTGTAGTAGACTGATGCCTTACTTTCATTGGTTATGCTTCGTCGGTCGAACGGATGATAAATCGATTTCGCCAACTTTGATTTCATCTGCAAATTTCGTGCTAATCCATTTGGATCGCTACAGCAACTGGTACCTTCATCATTTGATATGTTATGCACTTCGACAATTTTCGTCTTTAAATACACTTCGAAATCTGAAAATTTATTGAAAAAAATAACGTTAGAAATCATCTTCATGAATATCAATTTGTTTTTTTAAACGCTCTTTAATTAAGGATTCTCTGGCTAAGGTTTTTCACAAGCAAACACTCCCGTTCTTCCAACGAAAACTTCATGCCACTCAAAATCCAATAGACCTAAGATTCTTAGGAATTTGTCACAATTATGTTTATAAACAATTTTTACCTCGCATTCTTTAATAAAAGGCCCTTACTCAAGTTTCTTAACATACAAAACATCAAAACAGAAGAGAAAAAGGAACACACACACGTTTTTCCTCACACGAAATGTGAATACCATACCTGTGTTCAAGTCGAACTTCCTCAGAATGTCTACTTAATTATAAGTTTTTGACATTGAAAGCAGTTTTTAATAAGAAAGAAAATAATGCAGACAAACATTAATACGTCAGTTTCAATAGAGAGAAAGATAAGGGAAATTTTATCATCCTATGATAAGGAAAGGTAAAATTGTATATAAAGGGTGTTTTTTTTAAATCCGTTTTTTTATATTGAAATAAAACACACAAAAATGCTTTGACCACAAATGCTGTTGGTTTGTTTTTGTAGCGTATGGTATGCCATTTGATGTCCGACATGCAGTTCAGGGATATGACCACCACCCCTCGGTGATATACCCACCTTTCTTGACAGACCATTTTTGAGCTATTTTTGGGGATTTTGAGGTCACACTCCCATAATTTTATGAATTTGGTTGAACTTTAAAGCGTAAATCGTTTCATTTTCATCTGAGTAAACAAAAGAATTCATGTATCCCCACGGGGGAGTAGCCCATAGCCGTAAAATAGGGTCATTTTGTTGGATGATGTACAGATTGCATATTCGAAATTTTGGGAAAAAAACTTACACGAGACAGTTTCTCCAGTAAATTGATTTTTTGCTCAAAATATGCTAAGTTATGGACATTTTATTAAATCCAGTGATCATCCAGACCAATTTTGGCAAAAACAGTGGAAAATTTGTTTTTGGGTATTGCCCAAATGGCTAAGAATAGAGGCTGCTCGATGAAACCAGATTACTGCCCAAAAACAGATTTTGTCACTCTGTACTAATGAGTTTTGGGCTAATTCGTATTTATTTTGTTATTTCATGGAAGTTTTGGCCAAAACCTGTCCATATTTTGAGCAAAAAACAACTTTTCTGGTCAATTATAAGCAGAAAAGAGAAAAAAAATAAGGTCGAAAAATTTTGTGTCGGGAAAGGAGGGGTGGTGGTCGTATCCCTGAACTGCATGTCGGACATTAAATGGCATACCATACGCTACAAAAACAAACCAACAGCATTTGTGGTCAAAGAATTTTTGTGTGTTTTATTTCAATATAAAAAAAACGGATTTAAAAAAAAACACCCCTTATAATATGAGATAAATAAATAGAGAGACAGAGACAAAATGATAAAATTTGTTGTAATGCATTTATGAATGTAATGAATGTCAAACTCATGTCGAAGAGTACATACTGTTCTACATGGGATTGACATGTAAACAACCTTTTTGTGCAACGAAATGGAAAATAAATTTTGTGGCAATCAAAATGATGTAAATTGGAAGAAAAGTCAAAAGTTAGAATATTACCTTCATCAATATTTTCATCGGTACGCCCGCGGCAATTTTCAAAATAGAAACTCGGTAGATTTTCCAGTACTTTGTTGAGCGTTTGCTGTTGGTATTTGTAACCTTCACGAATTCGTAGCACTTGATGTGCACTAAACTTTCGGATTTTATTGCGTTGAAACACGTAATTTTCACGCACCCAATTTAATTGACCGGTTGAATAATCGCGCACCCGACGCAACTGCAAGCACATCCAATTATTTTTTGGGTTAATTATTTTCAATGAACGAAATTGAACGAAGGGAAGAAGGAAAAAAATTTACCTGGTCGCAGTATTGGTCCTTCATGGCGGTGATGTGATGCGTACCAAGATCACGTAGATGTTTCGTTTGATTGGTATAGCTACCCTGTATCCATTCAACTTGTTGAGCACAATTCTCCTTGATGCGATGGACCTACAACGAAAAAGCAACAATGAATCTTTGTCTTGTTTGCATTTTCCCAATCGAGTGACAAAATATTTTGCACAATGGAGGGGAGAAATTGATTGGATTTTCTCGTACGTCACTCAAAAAATCAATAAACATGGAAAAAAACGCATTTCTCGGCGAGAAAAGCATGGGACAAACGAAAAAATGACGAGAAAAACACTTACTTGTTGTGCATAATTCTCGCGTAGGCGTTCCAATTGTTGACTTTTATAGTGTTCGATGCTGTCGAGCATCTGCAAAATATGCTTTTTGGGCTGTTTCTTGCGTAGGCAGCATATACAACAGTTCATGCATATTTTATTAGCGATATTGAATCTGAAAATCGGCAACAGAAACAGAATGAGAGAAGTAAAATTAGAGGAAAAATATCGAAATTGGCATAAATATGCATATCGCGTTGATTTGGTAGTGAACATTAGTTGTCTTCACTCTGTCTGTCGAATACAAATGCCGTGCTCACTCATTCTGATTCATAACGAAATGGCGTGTGTTATGGCGATGATTTATTGATACACTACAGTTTGCCGAATTGAATTATGTGTGTACTCACCTGACACAACATCGTCGAATGCCCTGCACAATCAATGTCAATAGCAAGAAAGATGTGGCACTCAGTAGACCGGTAACAATGCTGGCAATTTTCACTCGATAGAATACGATTGGATCGATAAAAAGTCTAGAACAGAAATGGAAGAAGCAAGAAAAATGAGGTATGAAATGACACACGGATAACTGTAGAAGGGCAACATGAGACTGGAACAATGGAGGTTAAATATAACAATCGACATTTCCATGGTTTAATGTCAGTTCAAAGGCAAATGCAAAATGCATAGACTTATACCTGATTTCAGCCGATTTGTAACCCATCACATTGTAGCCATAGCAAATGTATAAGCCGCTATCTTTGCGTGAAATATTGTGAACACGCAACGAACCATTTTCCAGTACCGTCACATCGTTGACTGATGGTGCTGTGAGCCGGTCAAAATCAAGCATTTGATGTTCCATTTTCTCACGATTTTTCGCTTGATGATCCAAATCGGCATTCACATCGAAATGGCTGCTGCTGCTGTTCATGGCGCTCTTGTTATGCGTCAATGCTAATGGTTTAATATCTGGATCGGCATAGTAACGTATAATTTTGTTCAATGGAGTCACCCAAATAATGTCTGGCATGGGATTTCCGCTGAACGCGCACTGGATCACCGCATCACTGCGTAGTAAATAGGTTTTACTCTCCGACACATGAACGGGCTCCGGTACAAAGCATTGCAACTGCTGAAGTACACGTAAAAAATCACCAGGATAGCCGTGTCGGCATTTCAATTGATGGAATTGATTGAATGGCGGTCGTTGTTCGATTAATGTGAAATTGATGGCACGTTTACGTGTCTCATTTATCCATGTTGTCAGCCACACCATGTTACAATCACATTCATAGCTATTGCCCAGCAAATTAATCGCTGTCAAATTCGTCAGTGTGTTCAATTGCTGTGGTATTGATATGAGATCATTTTTACTTATATCCAAATGCTTCAATTCAGTCATTTCACCGATTTCATGCGGTAAAATCACCAGACTATTGCCGGATAGATTCAAATACTCAACGGCTGACAAACTGCGCAACGTAATCGCATCAATTTCCCGTAAATTGTGATTTTTTCGCATTGAAATGCGACGCAAACATTTCAGCACGTCCTTGTTAACTTCGTTCGGTTTTCGTGAAATCCAATTGTTCAGTTTTTGCAGCGGCGTTTCATCGATAATCAAATGCTCCAAAGCAAATTGATTGGCAAACACTCCGTTTGGTAATACTTTGAATCGGTTTCGGCTTAAGTTTAAATACTTGAGCTGATGCAATTGCTGGAATAGAGTCGTTGGTAACATGGTTAAATTGTTGCGGCACAGATTCAAACGTTGTAACGCTGCCAAACTATCGAACGCATTCCGATCGATGGTAATGATGTGATTCTCTGACAAGTCTAATTCCTGCAGCTGATGTAAGCCTTGAAATGAATTTTTCAGCACTTTTTCCATCGTATTATTGTGTACGTTGAGCACACGAAGTGCTTTATTTGCAATGAAAAAATTATCTAGAAAAGTCATCAAGCGATTACTTGACAAATCCAGTTCTTGGAGCGCAAACAGCGATTGAAATATTTGAAATGGGATTATCGATAGATTATTGTGAGCTAGATTTAGTAAATGTAATTTTGGTAATCCATTCAAAGTGAATGAATTCCGTGGAAGATCGATAATTTGATTGTGGCTCAGAATCAGCTCACGCAATTCAGGCATATCACTGAATACGGCCGACGTTGCATACACAGATCCTCCCATCGACTGTTGCCGCTGGTCATTTGGATTGCTTGAATTGACATCATTCACATCATCTTCATTCGACGTCGGAGCCGATTCGTACAGTCTCTCATAAACAATTGACATAATTTTATTGTTGCCTAAATCTAGGTGTTGTAATTGTGTAAAGCGGTGGAATAACTGTTGATGAAAGCTGCCATTGCTGATGGCGTTTCGAGACAAATTCAACAAACGTACATTTGGTGCATGCATAAACATATCCCATCTTAAATTCGTTATATCATTATCGCTCAAATCTAAGTAGGTCAAATGGTCAAATGCCGGCCGATCGAAACGACGCATCCATGCACTTAACGAATCACTGCTCAAATGGCTTTGTGTCCATGACATATACTCCATTGTCTTGGTTAATTGGTTTCTAGGAAAATTTACATTTGTTGTACTTGCTTGTTGCCACCTAGCCATCAGATTGCTATTGATATTCGCATCATTCAACGGAACATTCAATAGAATTATCCCGCTAAGCATCTCATGATTGCTATTCGAATGGCTACGGTTCGGTTGTTCATTCGACAACACCATCGATTTATCGCCCATTGACTTTGTGATGAAGTCATCAATGCTTGTGTTATTGCAATACACTACATACTGTTGATGGAAACCATTCAATTCCGCTGCATTTGAGCTGATCGTTGCATCTATTTTTGTTAAGGCCGACAGCGATTGAATCCATGTGGCTGTCAAAAGTGATTCAAACAATATACGTATACAGGATGAACGAGGCTTTGATATCGCTTCGTCGAAACGATACCGATCCAAAACTACGGATAAATCAACGGATTTTGTACTGTTGCTACTGCTGCTGCTGCTGCCGCCGCCGCCTCCGCTGCTACTGCTACTGATTGTGCTTCCACCGCTCTTATCGTCATCTTCACAACATTTGATTTGACTGATATCCTCATTGTATTGTCCGGTTGCTAAAATACACCACGTACTAATTATGAGTATCAGGAACACATATTTATGTCCCAAGCGATACATTTGATCCATGATTTTGGTAATTGTTCAAATGCTAGACTTTTGGTCGTTGTGTTTACGTGTAAATTACTCATTGATGATAAATTATTTCTGAAGAGCCGCCAACACTTCGGCTACTTGGCTTTCACCCGCTTCGTGTGATCGCTTAACTGGTGACGGTGGTGGCGACGATTTGCACACTATCTGGAGAAGAGAAAAAATATTGAAGAAGAAAATATCTAGGTTACTTTTTATATTTAAAACACAAATTTTCTTTCCAAAAAACGGGTTTATGTCAAAGGGATTGTTCTAATGAATTCATTTCATGGAATTGCACCATTGCGGAAGTTTGCCGATTTGAGGAAACGAGCTAATTAGTACATATGTATCACGCTGATAACCGCTAGTTTATGCAATCTCGAACTACCGCTTTACTATCATAATGACTATAATAATTATTAAAACTTCCTTGATGCCACAACATTTTGTATGTTTCACTGTAACATTCCGGTGTTGCTTATATTTATGTGTTACAAACACTGGTTTCAATTGGAAATATGAGTTGTTTTTCAACGATAAATAATGATGTTAATGTTGTTAACTTTGTTCAGAACATTGTTCGTATTTTATTTCAGAAATGATGGCAGCGAATAAAAATGGCTCACACCAACTGACACATTTTGACTACGCAACAAAATTTCCGAATGCAAATACATCGGTAAAATGCTTTTCAAACATCTAAAATTGCTCTTTCGTTGACATTTGAAATAGAAAATAAATGAAGACAAAGAAAGCGAACGATATCATTATTTAAAGTGTCGTTGTGGGCCAATATCGATTGATTGTTCTAATTATACTAATTGTCGTTTGCTGTGACTGTTGTTGAAAACAGTGGCATCGATTCTGTGTGGATTTCCCATTAGAGAGATGGATTCATCAAGTCGCGCTGACAAGTGTCGTCCATACTGGACACAATTATTTCATTTTATGCCATACATTTAAATTAAAGCGACGTTCGCTATGACAATTTTCTCGTTCTCTCTCTCTCGCTCTCTCTCTGTCTCCAGAGAGAGATTTTGTGGGAAAATGCTTCGTTGACAACTGCTCTTTGTTTTGTAAACCAATTAAATGCATTGTTTAGTGACCGTCACATTAAGTTGTGAACCCATTGTATTGATGTGAAACAAATAACAAATCACAATGTATCAGCGTATCAGCATATCAGTAACACAACGGCACATTATTTGCACACATAATTCAATTTATATCGGAGAGTTAGTGGCGCGCGCGCAATGTTCGCCCACTCGTTCTCTTTCTCACTCGTTATGTACACGTCGTGTGAATATAGATCGGAAAAAGAGCGAAAATGATTATGCTATTGAAAAAAGCAACGGCATAATTTGCCGCTGTATTTTCCACGTGTGTGTGTGTGTAATAGAGAAGGAAAGGAGTGAGCATGGATAAAAAACGGGTATCGCCTAACGATGAAATATGCACGGCATTAATGGTTCGATTTGACTGTGCACTGCACTTGTTTCTATTTTTTGGCTCTGTTTTGCTCCTTTCGTTATCGTGATTACATTAGGATACTATCTAAATTAGGCGCAGCACAAAACTCTTTTTGTTTGTTCCACTTCAATATGCAAAGGAATGACACACACAAAGAAAATAAATGAACACAATTCGAGCAAGCGAGCGAGAAAGAGAAAAGCACCTGTGCTTTTTTTCTGTGTTGTCAACAATTTATTGATTTTGCGCGATTGCCTATCCAAGCCGTTCTAGCAATTGCCCACAAACAAGCGCTCGATAATGACGAACACAAACCACAAACAATGTGCTTATGTGCTTTGTCACACAATCATTTGTGCTCGTTTGTTTGTTTGTTCGAAGCCAATGAAATTTCAAATCGTTTGTCTTTTCTCGGGCTAAATTCATTTATATTCAGCACTTTTCCAGCTTAAAAACACTGTCTCAGTCACTGCTATGGCAAACGTTTCAACTGTGATGAATTGCAAAAAAAAAAACGTCTCAATATCATTCATGATAAATATGAAATAAAATCGATGGATGAATGCAAACCGTTTAATGTTTCTCTCACTGTGCAATGCTGTGGTTACAAAAATAAAACACAGACAAAGTGAAACGTGTGTCAGTGCGCGTTTACTCAAACTCCAACTCTTTCATCAATTTTCATTTGCTGTATTTCATCGGGGAAAAACACGTCAGAAGGATGCGATGCTTGTGACGTACCACCAAATTTGCCCACGCACATTTCTTTCGTCGCTTAGCAATCATTTCCAGTCAATTTCAGCGAATCTTTCTTATCTCGCTTCGTTTTCACGAATTGAAGTGCTTCATCAATAATAGCTAGTCAGTGGCGCTGAGACAATCACTCCATTATTCAAATTGAGTTCAATGTGTCAATCGCAAATGAATTGACGGATACAAAAATAATAACACTCCGAAGTTTTAATTACTTTTTGAACGCGATTGTGGCACGGGTTGAACGTATTATCTCACATTGAATCGCTTTGTTTTGTTATTTTTTTTTTTGTGGCGCATTACATACGCAACTCTTCTGTGCCGTGTGTGTGGAGGACACCTCAAATGTCGCACTGGGAATTCGTGTTTGCGCTATTTTCAACATGAAAGGCATATAGTCGCACGTGCAAACAACGTTTAACTGCTTGAAAATAGTTTGACATTACGTATGCTAATAGGTACACACGTTCCAGGACAATATCGTTCATTCATTTCTTTTTCGATTGTGTTAATTTCTGTTTTCTTCACGTTACATTGAAAAGGTATCAATTTGAGTGGCGGTGGTGGTATCTCAAGCGACTATGTTGTTTTCTTTTAGGGCGTGTGGCCAAGGTCAAGGCAAAAATAAATTTATTTTCTTGACATAATTACACCCCGACCATCAACATTTATCAATGTAAATGAGCTGAAATTATTCGATCTGCGTCCAACACCGTCTCACACTTTTCTTCTCGATTTTTTTTCTTCTTCTTTCTGTTGCTGACGAGCAATTGTGCAACTTTGAACTTCACTAATAGAGTTTCAACGATTTTTGCTGTATTGTTGTTGAACAAGTTTTTCGCCACAAGAAAACATTGAACAAGAGTTTCTCCATCTCGTTGAGAGCCGGAAAAAGCGCTGCGAGTTTAAGAGATAGTGACATAGAGAGATATAGAGATATAGAGACATTGAATGACAGCATTTCTGAGACTGGTATCCATTGGGATGACAGTAATTCTGCGATCAGCTCAACAGCAGCAGCTGTGCACAAACTGTCTTATATAATCAGAGAGGAAGAGAGAGACAACAATTTTAAATGCTACGGCGAATTTGTTATTTTTTATTCGTGTGTTCTACATTTGCATGTTTCGATTGAGAGTTTGTTTTTTTGTTGATGTCTATTAATAAAAATGATGAGCATTCGAAACTGACAATCGACCCGTTTATTTTACTGTATTTTTTTTTTGCCGCTGCTGCTATCTTTGTTCTCTATCGAACAGCTGTACATTTGTTCGTACTATCAAAACTACGAATTGAGAGGAACAAATAGCGGATTGGATGTGATATTCAGTCAAGTTGACTGAGTAAACCAAAATCGTGTAATTCATATGAATAGTATGCATACTGAATAACATTGAAAAATTAGCCTCACATTTTATGTGATAAATGGCAAAATGTCACACACGATAGCGAGCAACAATAGCAGTGAAAGGCACTAATGTCACAACGCGATATAAAAAAAAGTTGATTTTGTTTCTATGCGTAGAAACAAATTGAAAAAATATAGGTTCAAAATAGCAATGATTCCATTGGTACTGAATGTTCCATACATATTACACTACTTTCAATATAGTGAAATATGTCCACGACACTCTCATCTACGTTCAATATCTTCTGTAATTCTTTTCCAGACGAAATTAGTCGAAATGCGCCAAAATTAGCACACATATTCTCTGTTCCATTCCTTACCTTTTTATTCAAACAATTTGATTAGCACATTCGACACAATTCGCTGCCATTTTCATGCTTTCAATTTGGTATCTGCGACAAATTATTTCCACAACTCAAATGTTCACGAACGAAATTTTTTCCACAAAAACTTTTTTCTCCTTTCACTTTGTTTCGAGTGGAATAAACAGATTTTTCCACACAAATTCATTTATCCACGTCGTACACACTGAAATTCTGATTGCGAAACATCCAATTTCACCGTATATTATTCTGATGTGGAAATGTTCTTACATCAAAAAATTTTTTCTTTTAAACGACGACGACAACACGGAACATTGCTTTCGACTCAACATAAATGGCTCTTGTGAATGAAAAACTTAAATCGACATATCAAATATTGAACAAGACAAGTATAACACAAAGCAGATTCACATTGCATTGGTGGTGGTGTGTTGTTGTTTCATATTTGATACATGTTTCAAATCAGCTTGTTTCTTAATTACGCACACACTTATGGTCACTTGACAGTACATAAAAACGCACATGATGGCACACACACACACACGGATGAAGTTTCGGTTCGAGTGCGCCATACGTCAATGTCATAACACACAATTTATTCATTTTCGTCAGTTAAATTTATTTCATTTCAGACATTTTTTTGTTGCAATGATTTTACTGCGGAAATAAAACCCGGAAAAACTAAAATGAATTGCTTATTCAGTCAAACGGAAGAATTCTTTGTCATTTCTAGTGCATTCTGTAACATGCGCAATAAACATTGTTTGTTGCCTACGGATCGCAAGGTGCGGTTCATGAGTGGAGGTGCCTAGTCTTATTTGATTCATCGGTTTTCTTTTCGGTCGATCTGATTTCGAGTTGAATTTTTATCGCAAAAACTGTTTTTCTCCAGAAATAACAGTAGATTTGTACTAAAAGTGGCTAATTGGGTCTTTTTCTTTCATTCAATAGCGAAAATTTTAATTTAATCGATTAAATATTGAAATAAGTGCTCTGACCGGCATAAATTGTTGTAATAATCTGACAGATAGATGTCATCACTCGCTTGGTTCTATGAAAATACGTCGTATTAACAAAGAAATAGAGAAAAAGATTTCATGAATGCTTAAGAACTTCTACTATTGCATATTATTGAGAAGGATCGAAAAGCAACAACTCTTAGAAGATTTCAGAACTGAAATAATCATAGAAATTTCTTCGTTTGAGCTACTTCATTCTCTCTTTTGATAGTGGCTTTCGTACTGGCTTGCAAGAACATTTGTAATGACGTGTGTATCCACCAATATTTGATTCAAACATGTATAAAGTGCAAGTGATTGTAACACAATATGCAACCGACTTCCAAATCGACACAATAAAACTTGCAAATTTATGTGCTTGTTTTCACTTTGGCATACACTGTATGCCATACAGCAAATGGTCGATTCGTTGAAATCAATAGTAAGCAATCGAATTTGCAGCAATATCAGGCTCATGCTCAATGAATTGAATCGCATCCAAAAATCAAAGGGAGTTATAACGAAGAAGAAAGTTGCTTTAAAAAGCAATTTCTGCATTGGTTTCTACACACGCTGCCCATAAATCAAGATACTTAATGTGAAGCACAACCAGTTAATTGCTTTGTTTTAATGCATTTTGATTGAGCAAAATTGGTGGTAGTGATGGGAAATGTGGAGCTAAGCTAGTGAAACTGAGTTCTTATATGAAAGAAACATTTTCTTTGTGTTCTTTTTTTAACAATTCTACGAATATTTTTATGTGCATTTGACTTTTTCGGCCAAAAATATCGAAGCAATAATGTTTCAATTGATTATTGTTTTCTTTAAACTATTTTGAACATTCGACGGCGATATCCGAGCCCCTTCTATGCTATTCCTACAATCATATGTGGAATAATTTGGAAATGATATTATTGAATTCTTAGAAGAATGTCATGTAAATTTTTCAGATTTTTATATCATTTTCTCTCTCTCTGAACTGCACTTCGTTCAATGCAACTTGAGTCCGTGTCGTTTTACGTTCCGCAATCATTACTGATGTTCAACAAAACACTACTAACTTTCAAACAGGTGAAATGCACGTGAATTATGCCCCAAGTTCAGCGAAAATCTACGCATTAATTAAAATATGGGTGATGAATGTGAAATGGTCGATTAAATTACAGTAGCTATCAGTTTGCAAGGACGTGTCACGTTTGGAAAATATTCCAAATTCGAATCATCTCCTAGTGTCCATTACACCAGCCAATCATATTCCCGTGCTCCGGGTATGGCACGTGTCGAGTCAAATCGTTGCTCTTTTCGTTTATTTATGTATCGCGCCAATTTGTTCAGTGAATGTTTGCCAACGGCAATGCCCTAATATGGCTATTATTGTGTAATTAAACGTAATTTATCCATATTTTGGAAGGTTTTTTTCTCTACCATTCCAGCTAATTCCAGCTAATTAATTGAACACTAAAGTCGAACTGCAATTGGGTTTCGAATCGGCAAATAGTGGATTGATAGCAGGCAAAATGCGTTGTATCCATCCTGAACGTTTTTGCGTTGTTATCGTATCACATTTCAATATGAGCCGATTTTGGATCATCGAGAAATTCAATATTTTTCATGCCGTCTTTTTCAAAGAGAAATCGGATTATTTCGATCCTTGAGGCCATAACCAAAGCGCATGACTGATAAAGAATACTTTTTTGCGGACTATTTTTATCATTCAAAATACACTTGTTATTGTGGAAATACGCACACACACGAAAAAAGTAGTTTCTCTCAATCGCTGCAACAGTTAAGCGATTGAAGGCGTTGCTCAAAACATGAATGAAAACTCGAATCGGTTATTCGCTGAGCGTACGATCAAAAGCAGCAAAACCAGTTTTCATCGTATAAAATACGGTAGTAAATCAGTCATAATGTGTAATCGTATACAAAGTATATGTATTCAACATTTCAACGTATCGCATGCTATTCACTTATCTGTATACGCACCGTAGCTCCGCCCACTCTTTTCTCCAGTTTTTTTTTACGTTGTCTAGTGCATCGCTAGCAAGTGCACACATTTCAATGTATGGCTATGCCATTTTACTTGAAAGTAAATAGATGCTTTTTTGTTTCACGCAAATATATAAGCGAAATCATTGCCAGAGCTAACTGAGCCCGAAACAAAATCACTCGAATTTGTGCATGACAACTTGTTGATGAAATGTTGTACAAACAAATAATTTGCTTATAAATATGCGTCTTAAACACGCAGCCAAAAAATCGATTGACTCTATGCGAATAGGTTTGGAATTGAATGAAAATATTTTTCTTCGAGTTTTGCAAATATTTGCGATGATGAATCAGAAAATCGGTGAATTCTTGGAGAAACTCATGAAGTTCGGAAGAATGATTTTATTCGAGGTATTGGCTAGAGGTGAATGGAACTTGTTTTAAACAAATCTGATAAATCAGAAATCAGTTTCTGCCGTGCAGAACGATCATTAATTTGGGTTCAAATGAAGAAAAATGCCCTTCAAATGGAGTTTCAGACAAATTGGCGCTTCGAATGAATTTCATCATTTTAGTACGTTCATATTATCATATCGATACGTTCTTAAAACTTCATTCAATTCGATGTTTGTGGTTTTTTTTTCATTTATTTTAGTTTGTACTGTGTTCAGCCGTGTTTTGGCTGTGTTCTCCAAAACTCATCTTCGGTAATATTTCGATTGTCTTGTGAAATACACGAAACGATTGCTAATCATGACGACAAACGGTATCCAAATCATCTGGAATTCAACGTTTTCTCTTTTTTTTCCGCTTCAATCACCGTTTTCAAAGTCATTCCAACACTTTTTTGACAATTCGTAAACAAATCGAAGGATAACTGTCCGAGAAGAAGAAAAAAAACGTGTAAAAGACAGCAAAAATGTGTTTACACTTTGGTGTTGACCCTCATCTTGTGTTGTTTAAAAACAAAAGTTAGCTCTTCTACGCCCGAACAAAACAACAGCAACAAGAAAAAACAAACATCAACACACAGCACATGAGAGCGAGCGAAAAGTTGAAGTGACAAAAATCGCATCAGCATGACTTTACTAATGCACATTTTTGCCCAGAATAAAATGCAACGGCATTTTTTTTCTTTCGACTGAACTGCAATCGCATGCATTTTATTTTGTCGAGTGAATTGTTTTGCTTTGCGCATTCACTGTTGTTTTTTTCTGCTGTTTTTTTTTCTGCTGCTACTTGTTGTGTTCACGTTTTTGTTCAAAGTTGTTCGGGTAACAACAATAAAAGTAAAAGAGTGTCGTTGGTACTGTCCATAGACACAGTAAAATGCATGTAAAAGATGGCAATTATTAACGCTAAATAACCAAACATACACACACAGAACAGTAGCACAATGCTTTCGCACTGTTCGTTTATTTCATTTTTTTTTATGCCCGTTTCGGTTTTTTTTCTTCTCTGCTCCACAATGTGTTTGTGTGTGTGCGAGTGACCATGCGAATATGAAGTAATGGCAGCAAGAAAGGTGTCAAATTGCAAAATAAAAATGCACCCAATTTTGAGAAAAATTTATAACAAACCGAAACTGATTAGTTGAAATAAAAATCCATTCCGTATGACGTCAGAATCGTTGGTGCGCTAAAAATACTGCAATGCATTTCCAGCGATCGCACTTTAAATTGGGTTATAACACGTTGTGTCAGGCGAACAGTCCTCATTACATCCACTATTTGCCTCATTCGGGTTTTTTGTTGATTTTTTTTTGGTCAGCCGAATGGGATTTCGCCATAGCATATTCGATTTTCAATTTGGCGCATCATTCTCAATTTGAATTTGGGACGAAATGACGAAATATAAACATTTTTCGAATTCCAAAACTCACAGAAGTGTTTGTGTTCCAAGATTCAATCCGTTGTTTCATGAATCATTATAGGTCGAGATTTCGAGATAACCCGTGATTTTTCAATCGGTATGCCAATGTTTTCAATTGACGTTAATTTCGTTTTGACACGTTTTGGTTTTTTCCAATTGAAATTCAATTTAATTCGACTTTAAAAATTCTAATTCGATTTGTTAATCGTGAGTTTGCCTCTTGTTCAAAAGATGTGCCATTGTCGTGCGTTCCAATCGTATTTCAAAGAGGTCAATACACTGTGTTTGAAAGAGGTATCCTTGTCTACTTGGTCAAAAGAATACTTGATACGAAACTAAATACTCGAAGAAAGAGAGAAGGCACAAAACCACTTCGCCAAGAGAGCGAGAGCGAGACAGAACGCTTAGCGAGCGAGCAATGCCCTTTCCTTCATAAATTCTGCATGGTGTGCAATTTTTGTGTGTTGTTTCTATCTCACCGAACGGGCACGTCGAAGAGAAGTAAGGTGGTGCCGAAATGCTCAGGCGTGCTTGTTTCAATCGCTTCACAATCATATCTTGCTGTTTTGGTCGTTGTTTATTGTGCGTATATGCAAAGTAAAAACGGCATCACCATCACAGTCACAGTCACACACAGCGAAGAGGCAACCGAAAACACACAACCATAACGGTTTTCATGTTGTTGAATGAATATAAGCGCTGTGTACCAACTGTAAAAGCGGGTGTGATCGAGAGTCGGTTCGTGTATATTCCGCATTGCTTTGTGCACAGCCGAGTCACAACACACAGTCGTTGCCGATGTGTCTGAGTGTGTATGGACACGTAAACGCGCATCAAAACCGAGCCAACCGTACTGATCGTTCACAACAAGGAACAGCAACCGTGTCACATTTGAAATTTATCAACTTTGTGAGAAACAACAAACTGTTTAGTTACGGAGCGATTTTCAAACAATAAACATCTCGTTGCATTTGCTGTGAGCATCGACAGAGTGAGAGCAACAACCCAAAACAGTTCAGCGTTCATATTTTCGCAATTGGAAATGTTATTATTTTGAGAAACCAAATCTTCAACCCGTGTCGAATAAATCCGTTGAGTGAATAGAGACGCCGAAAATCAAAATCAAAATAACGACAAATAACAATAAAATTTCAAGTTAGTTGTGTGTATTTAGAGGCAAATTTTTTAATCGAATCGCTGTTTTTTCTCAACCGGAATTGACCGTGTTATTATTTGAGCGCGAGATTATCATCTCATTTGTAAACAAATTAACTTCGTACGCATAAAATATTTGTGTAAAAAAGAGCCTGGTTATCAATTGAATCGTTCGACAAAAAGGCGAATGAATTTCTAGTAAATAGTACGCAAGTTAGATTGAACGAACAGAAAATAGAGATAGTTCGTAGCATCGTAAGAGAGCGAGAGAGGAGTCACATAGCGTCGATAGAAGCGGGAAAAAAATCTCAAAGCGTTCAATACAAATCGTTTGAACAGAGAAAAAAAACAGCGAAAAAACGTATTTTGAATCCGTGTGTGAAAGAGCGAACAGGCATAGTCGAATAACGGCTCTTGTTGATTGAAACGAATAAATTTGTGACGACAGCACATAAGCGATGTGATCGGCCAGAATAAATATATTATCGCGTACACAATTTATTTTCGATTAATTTGCAAAGGACACGAATAGAAAAAGAGAAAAAAAACACTCACATATTGAGCAGAGATATAGCCAAAAATATATTTAAAAAAAAAACACACAGCTATCAGAGTGTCACACGTATAAAACGCTATCATCTTCGTTTGGGCAACGGAAAAAACAGCAAATCAAAAGTGGCATTCACAAATCACAAGCAGAGAGACATAATCAACACTTGAACCGCATCAATATATGTTTACACTATTTTAATCGAATATGCACGTTTTTTCCGCACTCTCAGCACAATAACTTAGTAAAAATACGCTCCAATCACTGAATCTCGTTCAAGACACACACAAAAACTTTATCATAAAGCAGCAACTCTTTACAAACAACCAAAACGAAATCGCGTCTCAATTCGTTGAAATACGAAAAAAAACGAAGAAATTTCGGTGACAGTGATTTGTGTTTGATGGTTATTAAAATTTTAGTCAAAAATTCGACTGAATTATTGAGTTGAGGTGAAACAAGTTACAGTCGCAGATAAACAGCAATTAATCAAGCGATTTCAGTGGAAAAAAAAGAAGAACAAAACGCGAGACATTATTATAACCACACGAAATAAAAACAAAAGTCGGTGTGATCGTGCTTTATCCTGTTAAGAACACACACATACGCAGAGGCAAACAATCATCATCACACCCATCTTGTGTGTCATCAAAGTGCGGTGTGCATTTGAGTCAATTAAGAAATTGACCACCATCTAATCCTACAAGAGTAGTGTTTGTAGCCGACAAATTCATGAAAAGTAAGTAAATTGAGTACTGATTTTGATTCGCCGACGGGAAATGCCCCACGAAGCTATAATTACATTTGCAATTTACAATGCACTGTACAAAATATATGAAACGAATGAATTTCAATTGACCTACCTTTTTGCTACTTTTCGTACGCACAGTGTTAACGAACTTGGAACTTGGCGATGGTTTGCAGCCAATCAGCATTTACGCCGATACAAAGCAATTGCACTCGGTAAGTTGACACTTTGTCTAAAAGTCATTTTGCTCATTTCTTTTTTGTCACGCTTCGATTTGTCATCGACTCAAAAATTGAAAAATATCAACCACTGTTTACTCGTCACATCATTTTTTCCCATAATTCTTTTCACTTCGTTTGTTTTTTGCCCGTCCTCATCTTCTATTCCGATCTAATTGGAATATGTCGAAAATGAGATAAAAAAATCTGGTGTGCAAGTGTCACGGCAACGATATCAGCGTTTTTCAACGTATATGTTTTTAATCTATTAAAATTCAATGTCTCAGACCAATAATTCATTTGGGAAAAAAACATAAATTTAAATGCCGCTAAGTAGCAAACGACGAAATAGCTAATAGACTAGCCGACTCTTTCGACGTGATTACATTGTTGTTGTTGTTGTTGCTGATGGTGTTGTTTGGTGTGTCTTCATAATATTGTATCAATTAGAAAAACATATAAATAAACTAGTTCAGTGGCCATAAATCAGCCGAAAATTACCATTGCCCTTACGGCAATGTGTGTTTGAAAATGAAATGAACGCCTTTTTTCTTTCTCTCTCTTTGTCGCTTTTTTTCTCTGAATTTTTGTTTACAAAAGAGTGTCGCATCAGTTCATCTAAATCCTAATAAAAGTCAGTGCATATGATGTTCGATTATATTCGCCATATTTTTATGATCAAAGTCGAGCCTGATCTCAAAAGAGAATTATGAATCATTTTCATCTAATTTCGAATAGAATTTCCCATCAAATTTCTTTATAAACTGGATGAGTTATTGACGAATGCGAACAGAAAGGTTTATGTGCAAAATTCAAGCAAGAATTTAAATTGGAATTTTTTTTGCCAAAAATTCGATCAAGTGCGAAAAATTCATATTTTTCAAGCAGAATTTTTGCTTCTCTCGAAAGGAGAGTTTTTCAAGAAGACGAATTTACCCAACCCAAAACTGACAGTCTCAATTTGCCATTAGGTAAATTTACCGAACAAAATATGTTTTTAACGAAAAGTCATCGATTCGTAGAAAGTCACGGCAATGGATGGTTTTTCGATTCTTTTTTCTTCGTTCGGTTCTTTTTTGTGCACGCAGACAATTTTCGTCATTCGGTTTCTGTATTACGTATTATAATAAATTGGTGTAAATTAATTCGATGGCAATGAGACGCATACAACGCACGTACACGTTCAACACAACTGTTGGGCTGATATGCACACCGAGCTGCGTGTGTAGGTGTAGGCCGGGGATTAAAAACCTTTTTTTCAATGAAATCGGTGCCATTTTTGACACAGCCAAAAAACCCGAACACACAAATCCCATTGTATAAATGTCGTGCTTGTGATTTTCAGCTCGTGAGTGCGGGAGTTTTTCCGAATTTTCGTCGATTTTTTTTTCGTTGCTGTTTGTTGCTTAAGTGTATGTGTATGTGTGTGTGCGCGCTGCGCACACCTAGTGACACTTTTGTCTGGTGTGTCATGATAATTTGTGCATCCAGCGATCAAGTGATATATTAAGAACAGCTGGCTGCGTTCACCGAAATTTCATTTCTTTTGCTCGATCGAAATGCGGTGTATTCTCTAAAGGCCGATTCTTTTTTTCGCTTTCTTCACATTTACAACCATTTCGTCTGATCGTTTTTCTTTCCAATTTCTTCTCTCTCTCTCTTTTTCTCTCTTTCTCTCGATCGTTTTTCTCTTGCTATCAGCATGTGTGAGTTTAAGCTCGGTGTGTATCTCGTTTAATCGAGAGAAACGCGGGCTTATCATTAGCACAGAAAAGAAGGCCAAATCTCAAATGATATTTTATTTTTGTTCATACACACACACACACACACACACACACACACATCAACAGTTCGGTTGATTTGAATGCGGCAGCGATTTTGAAATCGGTCGATTACGCGGCCAGCCATTTTCTTCCCATATGCATTGGCTGATTACGACGACGACGGCAACAGTTTGAAAAAAAGTACGACGATAGTCCTACGAATTTTCATCGAATAGAATAGTTAATCGTTGTCAACGACGAAGGCAGTGACGGCGCAAGCCGCGATTATGGGCAAAATCATGTGTGTTCCAAACGAGCGAAGCACTCTCTTTCTGGGGGTTCCATTTATGCAACACTTTTCGACCTTCTTATCGTATTTCAATTGAATACAATAGTGCCGCGTTTTTTTTCTACTGTTCCCCAGCGCATTGCCATTTATGACGCGCTTTTGACAGCGAAGAAAACAAAAAACCACTTATCAAGTGTCACATGAAATGAAGCGAGAAAAAAGAGCGAAACAATGAAATAATATAAATTCATCTGGTGGTCATTATATATTGTGCATATTGCAATCCATGTGATGGGCTGTGTGTCGCAGTCAAAACAGTGTAATTACATCGAGCATTTGCAGTGTGTACCATATAGTCATATCCACGACGCATAATCACACGTACAGCGAGATATAATACAAACAAATATAATCGAATGCGGTGCGGCGCAGAACGGCACAGGCCCTTCGACTGATATCGCTAAAACGAATAATGCACAAATTGCAAATTAATTTATAATAAACGTGCTATAGAGAGAGAATGCATGAATTTATGCACGTAATCAAACTCCACATCGAACGAATATGCATACCGATTTTAAAAGGTATTTTGCATCGTTTGGCAATTTTTTTTCCGCCTCTCGCTGCCACATTTTGCGTCCAATCGCATGGAATTGCATGTGCAATTTTGCAACCGGTCCGATTTTTTTTTTCCACCAGCAAATTTGTTCACAATTTGCAGTTTATTCAATCTGAATTCACTTCGACATTCAGTCAATTTTATTGATGATTTATTTTTGAACTAAGCAAAGCATCAGCAATTTTTCCATTCTAAGGCGAACACTTGCCACTTACATTTTCGACAGTTTGCAATTCAGTCAAGTGCAATACAGTCGCTGTGGTTTTCCTCTGCCGGAATTCTAGTCAATTTTTGTTTTCACTTAAAGAAATAATATTTTGATTTAAAACCAATTTTTCTCGCTTTTATTCATGATTCTGTTCGAACGTGCTTTTGTCAATGTAAACTACTTTGGGTTTGTTTGTATTATTATCACTCGCTACACACAAATCTGCTGATAATCTCGTTTTTTTGGCGTCTGTCATTTTTTCCGTGTGGTTTTTCTCTCTTTCTTGTTTTCTGTTAATTCGAGGATTTGACACACGGAATTTGCAATAATTTTCTTCAGTTTAAACAACATACAAACAACCATCCGTCTGCAGTGTGATTTAATTTGATTGACGATTTTTTTTTGCTCATTCATTCGTTCTCGTGATGTAAATAAAGCAATAAAACAGAAGGAAAAAAAGAAGAAAAGTATCAGATACGCAAGAACGAACGTGGCGATAGTTTAGACTTCAGGATTGTGTGTGTGTGTGTGCGTACGTTCGCATTTCCCGAATGTAATCAGAAGAAGCAAAAAAAGGAGAAATGTTCATCGGTTTTTAAATTTAGCATTTATTTTGGATACAACAAACAGTCACCGTCATTCATTCAAAACGTTTGTGTCGCGCGTACAATTCGATTTGCTCACCACCACAAACTGTGGCTTCATCAAACAAAACAAACAAAATTCAGTCTTTTTCGTGGTCAATAGAAATCTGTCGTTTTTCATTGTTGTTTGAAACAAAAAGGAGTGTGTGCGAGCGTGGACTTTCTTGTTGTTGTGACAAATTTTATGTTTTTCAAATTATTAATGAGTGTATTGACTTCATCGAATGGAACCATAGCGTTGAATTTCATAACAGTGCAAATCAATGGGCTTCTTATCGAAATTGATCGAATTGAGTGTGAGCATAAACAAAGCTGAGCAAAAGAACACCGGAGAAAATGCAATATTTTCCTTTTGCGAATTGATAAACAGCGTGTGTCTGTAAGTGTCGATGCATTCTTACGGTGACGTTGACTCCAAAATAAAACGCAGTGTCAGGGCACAACGCTCTTTGCCGTTTTATTGTTTAAACAAACCAAATACGATCTCTCATTTCAATTTGAATGCAACAAAATGATATCGTTTCACTTTTTTCTTATTATTGTTTTCACATCAGCACCGATTAGCCGACAAGATAATACACAGTAAATTGATCGTGCCTACGACTTATGGACGATATGAATTGCATAAAAAAACCGTTGATGAAATCATATCGCGCTAATGAACGGAGAATGAAAACGGTCGCTTGTTGAAAGTTTTGATTATTACTGTTATAATACGTTCGTTTATGCGTGTTTGTTCAGTTTACCGAATTGAGCCAATTGAAATTCGATAAACGGCTCAGGACGTAGACACCGCTTCACAGTAGTTGGAGTGTGCATTACAGTGTGCATTACAGTCAAAGATCAATTTCGCGATTTTACTCGAATTCAAAAGTAGGTCATATATATTTGAGACGGATCAAGAATCAGTGGTTGACAATTTTCGATTTATGTTTGTGTAAATTTATTGAATAATTCACCCCAACTTGGGATCCCCAAGAAAAATACTTTCATTGAAATTGACGATTTTTTAATTTTGTTTTGTTTTGTATTTTGCAGACCATGAGCCGATTCAAGCCAGAACCATATCTCGATCGTGGTAAGTACCTGTTTCTATATTCCGCAAATTGTTTGTATTCAGTGAGTCATATTTTGATTTTTGTTTCCTACAAAAAGTCGAAAACCTTCGTTTCTCCATATCCATATGTTTCGCAAAGTCAGCAAAACGTGAGCCCAAAAAAAAATCGTGTCAATTGCTTGAAACTAGGGCTTTTAAATTAGAACACTTTCCATATAAATGCATATTTTTTTAAACTGAAACAATGGCTCTAACTTTTTATTGGAAATTTTTATTTATTAATTTGTTGCAAATTTTTTCGATTTTTTCGATTTCTCATTTCAAAATAGCATGCGAAATTTTCAAGTCACCATATTCCGCGTACATGACCGAAAATCGGTACACAGATCTGAACATCACGGCCGTTTCCACATCGACGGCGCACATTGATTCATTGAATCTCATGCCAACCAGTGAAAATCACAGTTCGACACCTGCACATTGCCAGAGCAGCGCTGAAAATACAGGCCAACACAATAACAACAACAACAATCAGATGAATAACAATCATCTGAGTCATGGCATCAAAACAGAAAACCAATCGCCACCAAGCAGCAATTTGACGGTCGATGAACAGGACTCATCCAGGTAATTTTGAGTTTGAATTCAGATTTTTTTTTGATTAAAAATGATTTAATTCAAATTTTTTTGTTCATAAATTCTATTTTCATCTCGTTTTTTGTTCACTTTTGCGATTCATTCATTTTTATCATATATTTGAAAAAAATCGAAATAGCTCAGTTACACCTACAGTAAAGATTTGAACAAATTTGGTGTTTCTAAACGTAAATCATTTCATTTTCTCCTGCAGCTTGGTCAACTCATCAAAAAGAAGCAACACCAATGAAAAGCCACCATACAGCTACGTTGCGCTGATTGCAATGGCGATTGAGGTACTTTATTTCATTTGTTCGTTAGCGTTTTTTGCACGTTTTTTTTCTGTGTTTATTGTTTTTATTGCCAATTGGATTTGAATGCATGTACAAGTTGTATGGAACATACTCAATGGTTTCAAGATCGTGTAATCTGCTGACATGAAACTTTTGAGCACGTTTCATATCTCATTGTTGATCGTCTCAATATCGTTTGCGCTTCGTAGATTTTAGCCGGCTGTTTAAATGCTTTTTCTGTTGTCTTTGCCTCGGGTTCGACTCCGAATAGAAGATTTTAATTTAGTTTATCTTTAGGATTTTAATTAAGTCTCATCTATTGAAGCTTCTTAACATTCTCGATGAGAAAATTAATGCAATTTCATGTTCTCATTAACTGATTTTCATTATAAAATAACAACTTAAATAAATAAACCGATCGTTAATTTTTGCTCCGAACACAGAATTCACCACAGCGACGGGCTACATTGAGTGAGATCTACGCGTACATTACGACAAATTTCCCATATTTCGAGAAGAACAAAAAAGGTTGGCAAAATTCGATCCGTCACAATCTCAGCTTAAACGAATGCTTCATAAAAGTCGCTCGCGACGGTGGCGGTGAAAGAAAGGGCAATTATTGGACACTCAGCAGTCGTAAGTGTACAATTCACATGTTATTTAATGTGATCGTTATTAAATGTCCGTTTTTTTTCCTCTTTTTGTTGTGTTGCGGCTCTTTTTTCAAACAGACGCTCACTACGAGGAGATGTTCGAGAACGGTAACTTCCGTCGTCGTCGACGAATGAAACGCACGTACAATCGCACCTCAGCCGCTCATATTTCACGACTCTATGAATCACCGTACAATCCAAATTATTCAACGACCGCTCGCATGTACGCAAATCCATCGTATCGCTACAGCTATCCAGATCCAGCGTGAGTAATCTTTATTTTCTACAGTAATTTGAAACCAAAATAGAAAAAACATCCCAGCAAAAGCACTGTACTTCATTTCAACGTAAATCGTTTAATTTTAGCGCAAATTTTAATTGCAGTTTGACATCGCAATGGTTGAGTCCACAATCGATGAATGCTTACCAGTCATGCCCGTCGCGAAACAGCTTCGGTTATGGATCACAGATTCCATCAGCAGTGCAATCGATCAACAGTTTCCCATCACTGTCAAACAATATCGGTGAGTTTGAACTGGATTCGTTTTTTTATATCCATTTCAACCTTTTACAAAAAAAAAACAGAAATTCTGAATCAAATTCATTTGGTGTGATATTTCGAAAATTTCTACATGTTTTTTCTTCAATCAGTTTCAGGTAGCACATCACCGACAACGCGCCGTCTTGAATATCCATATTCATATGATTCAGCGAGTAAGTTGAACTATTTTCATTTATTTTGGTTTTGAAATGAGAAATAAAAAAAATAATGAATCAACTCTTGTTTGTCAAACTTGAATAATTTTTCGAAAAAATCTATTCATTCTCCTTCAAAATCCATTCATTCCCTTTTAAAAACCCATTAATTCGAACGAGATGTGACTTTAACAAAAAAATATCTTCATTTTTTCCCATTAAAGTTGGTCTCCCGATGGTGAAAGAAGAGCATGGTCAACTGAATGTTACGTCAACGCAGTCATCGGTGTCCAGCCCGTATTCGATTCAGCAGCGTTACATGTCACCAGTGCCGCATTCCTCTCAGCCATAGAGACCCTTCCGGCGCTTGCACCATTTCCGATATTCAGTTAAATGAACAATCTTTTGATATTTCTAATTCAAGCGAAAAAACAAACGGATCTCTCGCAAAAGCAAATGTGCAGGAGCATTTGAATTTTGGAGAAATAGCATTATATCACTTACAGCATAGTAGTATAAGGCAACACAGCACGAACAATTAACTTATCTGATCAATGAAGAAAACTAAGTTTAAGGCCAATTCTCGTGATTATTCAAATCCGACTCTCATTTTATTTATTTCTTTCTGTTCTTATTCTTTTTTGTTCTCTCTGTATCGTTTGTCATTTAACGGCGTATTTAATAGTGTTAAGCAAAGAAAAAAAACGTAAATTTAATTTACTGTTAAATTGAATCTTTTCATCGATTTTATAGAATTATGGAAGCCATTTAGTACTTTTGTCTCTACAAAAAAAGAATTTTGTCAAGAGTAGACTAATCACAAATCAAATTTGATGAGAAGAAAAACAATGCATATTAATTGAAACCAAAATGTTTTGGTGTTTAAGTATACAAGTTGATGAACTGCCGTCGGTATTCATCAAAGACGATATCGATAAATTAGACACTAGATTACTGCTAGCGAATTTTTTCCATTAGAAAAAAAAACAAACAAACGATCATATTTCAAACAAATAACCATGTATTAGGATAATTTTAAACTTTATTCGAACCTAAGAGGCATGTGCAAGGATTATACAAGAACTACTCTGATTACAAATCAAATGAAAAACCAAATAAATATGTTTAAATATCCACTTTGGTGTGAACCAAAGACGTAAATCATGACATTTTTTCTTTTGATTTCTTTTTGTTTCGACATTTTCTTTTACTCTCATTTCACACAGATTTTTACTCCTAAGATTTCATTTCTGCCTTCAAAGAACATTTTCCTTTTCAATTTCAGTTGCAAAAATTTTTCGTCATCAAAATGAATGAGTCTTTTTGTCATTCAAATATGTTGCCGTTTTAAGGTTTGTAATCATTAAATTCCTCCGGGACTTGTTTCCAAAGTGAACACAAATCAGTGTCATCGATTGAAAATTACCACAAGAACAGCAACAAATCGCTTCCGTTTTGGCTGTTTCCGCATGAAGAAAGTAGGGAAAATTTGTCAACAGCTTGAGAAATGCATGTTTCAATGAATAGTTATCACTAGCTATTCCAACGAGACTCCATAGCCAAGATGGGTAATATGATTAAAAGAGCAATCTGTGAATTGATTCCCAATGGACGTTTTAAAATGGGTATAAATACGCATCAAATTTCAATCCTCCTTGTTTCATAGTGATTTTTCTCTGTCACTTATACGAAACCGACGATTGCCTTTGCAAATGTTTCTCTATCTATGTAGGTGTTGTGTATTCCAGTGTTGTTTGTGTTCTACTAAATGTCTTTGGTATATTTCATTTGTTCCGCGGCCCTCTCACTTCGTTGTCTCGTCAGTTGGGGCTATAAATTACCGAATTCAGTGCTTCGTTTGAATTGTGCATTTCAAAATTAAAAAGGCGCTAAACATGAGCACTTAACCTCTCTGGCCTAGCCATTTCTAAATCTCTAATTTTCTCTGTCACCGGTTTTTGAGATAGAAAAAAAATTCTATTTTCGTCATTGATTCGAATTCTTCACAAAAACCGAACAACGACAAAAAAGCACTGTTCTACTTTTAGTGTCTGAAAACGTGTTGACTTTCGTTTGATAAAATATCTTTCACCGGCAACAATAAAAAAAAAATTAATGGCATGGATGCACGTCGCTTGGACTACGATCGAGATTTGTCGTCGGAATTTTAAATCGCACGGATCACATTTAAAAGGAAAAAAAACGCCACGGTCATTTTCAATGAATTCGAAATGTTGTGGACCATCGAATTTGCAACCATTTAACATAATAATGTGTATAAAATAGTAAACAATTTCCGAGCTATAATTTACTATGTAAGTCTGTGGAATAAACACGTTCAAAATATTTACAAAACAAAATAACACCATATTTACAAATAGTCGGAAAATCAAAACATTTGAATTAGATGAAATATACATCCAACAACAAACACATCACGAGCCTCACATGCGACACTTTGCGGATGTAAACACAGCAGCAGCAGCAACAGCGGCGGATCACATGAGATTTCAGTGGAACAGAAACATGTCAATGTGACAAAACACAATCGATTTTTTTTCGGCTTTCCGGCGGCGAGATCCGATATCGTCTTGTTGATGGAACGTCGTTGTTGCGATCTCTTGTGTCGATCGATATTCCTGCAGGAAAATCCACTTACATGCAATGGATATACAGTTGATAGGCATATCAAAGCAATATTTTGTAATTTTGAATCCATGTTCTCTCTTTATCGCTGTCTTTTCAGATTCAGCATGGATATTCTTAATCAAAAGTATCTTTTTTAATACTTAATTTTCCATTATCACTTTTATACTATGGAAAAAAGTTGTGATTTTATTGCAATCAATGTCATTGTTGAGATCATTTCAAACGTTTTTGACTTTTTTTTCACTCACCAGAGTTAGCAGAGCTGCACTTCAAAGCCATTCGAATACACGCACTTCTTCGTAATTTGCCCATTCACAACAAGAACGAGCGATTAGCTACAAATTGGATGCTCATATCAGGAACTGTTTTTTTTCTCTCACGTCCGTATCTATTCCACTTTGTTTGGTTTGCCAAATTTCTTTCTAATTATTTCTTCCCAATGTGTCATTGATATACCTCTACAACTGGGTATACCCGAAATGTCGTAATCGAAGTCTAAGAATTCACATGCTAGACATATGTTTGTAAATACACCAGGAAAACAAAATAAACCAAACTAAAAAAAACATCGTGACAATATTACAAAATAAAGAGCAAAGTGTCAACAAATTCGCTGAAAAGAATCAGAAGGAAGAAGAAGAAAATAAATAAAAGTGGAAGGAAATTCGGTGACATGACGTTTAACCTTACACAATCGCTTCACTCAGAAGATTGTTATTTGCCAGTGTTGTCCGTCAAGATTGCGGTCACACTTGCAACGAATATTTTACGACCTCAATGATCTATGTCCTGTGTGCACACGTTGTCACATCTCATATAAATACAATCAACGGGAAGATTCATTCCGGCGGCACAAATTTATTTACAAATTTTCGGCGAGAAAAAAATAAATAAACAGGAATCAACATTCAAACAAATCAAATTTTCATTGGTAGAAACTGTGCATTTTGTGACAAATAACACCTTGACGAGAAAAAAAAACAAATTGGCGAATCTTTGGCGCTTTGGGTTAATGAGAAACCATTTTCATTGACTACTTGAAAATAACGGAACGATTGGCAGAAGAAGAGAAAAAAAAAGCGATTGGTAATATGGGAAACCCATAAAAAAAGCATAAAATTTCGAAACGCTAGTGAAATAGCAAATGAAAACATCAGTTCAACAGAGAGAAGTAGTTCGTTTCGTTTGATTGAATGTGGTACTAGCAGGAGGAGTATGGGACCGAATGGCAGTCAAAACTGTAAATTACGTTTGACGAATTCAATTAAGAGCAATAAAATAAAACAATTATGCATTGCCTGTTAGGAATATATGGAAATAATAATTTCGAATCGTTGGCTGTGTCTTACTCTGCCTCCATCGCTGAGTCGTTCTGCACTTTTGTTATTTATTTTTGCATTCCAAAGCCGCGAAAATATGGCCGTTTGGATCGAAAATTGCGCAAATAAAAATATTCATTTAACATACTATGGACTGCGCGCGGAGATCTCACAATTTGTGTACGAGGTGGCTCGAGTGACTGGGATTTTTCTTTGTTTGCCTTTTTTTCGCTTGCTCGCTCGTTCTCTTTTCCTGCATTTTATTGCCCATCTTATTTATAGCCAGAAGAAAGAAACAAAACTGTCCGAATGGAGAAATGCCGGCATATGGAATCGACTCATTCAATTTTTTTTTCATCGATTGTGGAACTTTGGATGGCGAACAAACTTTGAACAAAACCACATAACTAACTCAATTGGGACTCGCGCAAATCCAATGCCAGAAGTAGTGACGCAAAAATAAAGATGAAGCAAGTGAAAACCAAACGAAATGAAATTGCGAACAACAAAAAAAGGCGAGAAAAAAAGCAAAAAATCGAAATAAAAAGTGGGAATTTTATACTGTGAGCTACTGCTACTGTTACGGCTGCTTTATGGCTATCCGGTGCATCAACAAAACATTGCTTATACGCTATTTTTAAAGACAATGAAAAATCACGTACCATTTGCATTAATTTCTTCTCCTCTCTCCCTCCCACATCCATTCACATCGCAGCGCGCAAATACGCTCATTAGTCGCTTCGAACGATTTTATAACTCAGTCGTGGTCGTAGCGGTTCCGATTTACATATTCTCTATTTTCATATATACATACTCAACTCAACTCATATTTTGCATTTGATTTTTACTTCTCTCGCTTTTGTTTACGTTCATCTGTATCAAATGCAACTTGAAACCTAACATGAGCGATTGTCGTGATGCGCACTACTACTTTTTCAATTCAACGTCAGCATTTCAAATCCATTTCTCAATTTCAGTGTAAACAAATTGGTTCATCGATCAATGGAAGTGCTCTTTTTTGAATGCGTTTGGTGATTAGGTTCCGTTTCGTGATTTGTTCCGGTTTTAACTAGGTTTTTTCTTCATATTTTTGATTTTTTCAAGATTTTTTTTTAAATGAAATTTTAATCATTTTTTAAATAAATAGAAACAAGAAAAAAAAGAAGATTGAAAAAATATGAAGATTGGCATAGTGGTGGGTTAGTTATTACAATTAAGATCATTTGTTCTACGTTTTTCTTCTTCTAGAAAACCATCAAAATTTGAAGATATAAGAAGAAGAAGTAATTGGTTCTTCATATTCGAGTTCATATCAATTTGATTTGGTCACTTCATTTGTCACCGTGTTTAATTGGATTTGTTTATTTATTTATTTATTTTTTCGCACATTTTACCTGATATTCGGTTGCATTTGCACATATCCATTTTAAATTTTGCCGGTATAAACGACAATGGGTTTGGGAAACTGTAAAAGAAGATGTGTGAGAGCAAAAAGTGTCGGGAAATAGACGAGATGATAAAAGAACTTGTGAATGCACGTTGAGTATATCTCGCTATGTCCAATTGGGCGGTTCGTCGCATCAATTTCGTCACTTCACATCGCCAACGATGATTTTTCGTGTTCATTTTTTCCATACTCAGAATTGAATTTGATCCTTGTGTTCCGTGGAAATAGAAATTCGTTTTGTACAGAAAGTGCATCTGCGGATCCAATTCTAAACTTAGACGCAATTCTCGAATTTGCATCGCGGTAGATTGATCGCGTTCATTGGAGAATCAGAGAAAAAACGATTTTATTGTATAAAAGATTGTAATTCAATTCGAAGTTGGATGGGATCAGGGAGTTGGAGTTCGTGTTTAGAACGAACGTCGTTCCGTTTCCCGAATCACGTATCGTGAAATATGATACACAATTTTCGATTCTTCTTTTTCTACTTAATTGCTTGAATTTATGATCTCAATCCGAAATGCAACTGCCTGATGTGATAGAGTAGTGCGAACCAAACCGGAAAGGCCCCGAAAAGACACACTGATCTTTGACACATTATTGACTTTTGACGAGTACAAACTACTGAACCCATAAAAAAATGATACAAACCATAGACGTACAATCTCTATCAACGTTTGTCTGTGTAAACATTTGCCTTCGGCCAGTGAAAATACTAACAAAATGCATTTGCTGATAACGCAGTCCTTTTTTTCCCTCCATATATAATATCAAATACACAACTACCATACGGTATCAATACTTGAGCTCATTATCTTTTCGCATGAAATGTTTGCTTATGAGATTAGATATAGAACATTCGGTGACGAAATAACGACATTGCGCTCACAGCACTCGATTTGTGAACAACACCAACTTTACATTAGCAAAAGCAATAACACACACAAAATACGATTGTGCATCGTCACATCTTGCTTCAAGGTTTAACGTAGCAACGAGCAAAAGAGAGACACAGAATTACACAAATGCAACACACATATGGAGCGTTTTCGGTAATTCCGTGATAAAATTTGTAAACACCCAATGTGAGATAAGGTCGAATTTCGTAATCATCCAGCGAAAATCCGCATAAAACCAAAGCAGTTTAGCTTGAACAATAGGAAGACTCACATCAGAGTAGGAAAAAAATGAGGTTTTAACTAGTTTTAGAGCAAGAAATCCCAGAAAAGGGCTATACAAAGCTTGAACAAAGTGTAAAAACGGGCCAAAAGTGAATAAAATACAAAGTTGACCGAAGATAAAAAAGTTGAAAAAAAAAACCAAAAACGTTAATCGATCGATTAATGTTCAGCCCAAGAAAATGAGTCAATTATATTCAGTGGTAATTTGGTTCGCCGTAATTTCGTGCATTAGCGGTGATATTTGTGATATTTGTGTATGTACGTCAAACGATTGTGAACTGGCAAATAATGACTCAAAAGCCGTGTGTTCTGATGATGTCGAGGAATTTTTTACGTGTAATGCAACTGAAAATAATGTCAATGAAACTCATCAGCGTTTTGATTTGAACAGTATTCAATGGCCAAATAGGAATATCATCGTTTCAGCGAGATTCAACAATTTCAAACTTACATATTTGTCCAAGTAATTTTTTTCTCTTCATTTTTTTTTAAATTTCATTTTCATCAAGTTAATAGTGAAGACTTTTTTTGGGTTCGTGTTCTGTCGTGTTACATGAAAATCATTTTAACAATCAATTTCTATGAATTTCAGTGTATTATGTAGTGCTTTAAAGCCATCTCTTACACCAACTCTAAACGCCATTAATTTGGACAGTAATGCGATCGCACATATTCTGGGTGATCCATTTGAATATTGCAAAAATTTGACATCAATTTCGATAGCCAACAATCAGATCGAACAATTGTCATCAGGTATGTTTTCCGTGAAAAAAAATATATACATTCAAAACACATAGCGGCATTAATGTAAACTGACCTGCTTTATGTCTTCGTACACAGAATTATTCGAATCGACGGTTTCCCTGCAACGCTTGAACATTTCGCGGAATGCACTATCTGAGTTTGATGGAGGCATTTTATCGCGATGTAAGCATATTATTGAGCTTGATCTGAGTCATAACCAGATAACGATATTGAAAGTGAACGAGGTAATTGATTGTACATACGATTACTTCCAGAGCACAACGGAAAGAAAGAAAAACATTCGATTGCGTGCGTTTTTTATCTTCAAGTTTTGGTGTTTTTTTTTCAAACATTTTCAGATTCTCGATGCATCACCATCAATTGAGACATTGAATGCAGCGGATAATCTATTGTTTGCCATTAGTGACAAGAATCAAAATAAATATTTACGATTGAAGAGTCTGACATTGTCTGGAAATAAAATGACTGTAGTCACGGCCAATACATTTTCGTCGTATCCGTCGCTGTAAGTTGCCCGGCAACAAATATGATTCACGATTTACTTGTTGATTTCTTTTTTTCCGTTTTTTACAGCCGTTATTTGAACATTTCTTCGAATGTTTTGGGAAATATCGAACAAAATGCCTTCCAGGAACTTATAGCGTTGCAAATTTTGGATTTGTCATCAAACAATTTGAAAGACTTGTCGTTAAAATTGCCTGACAGTATTGAACACGTTTCCTTTGCACGAAACAAACTGAAATATTGGCCCATGGAGAAGCAGACAAAAAATGTGCTAACATTGGAGTTACAAGAGAATGAATTGGTGGAGATTTTTAATTCTGTTGCTGTCGGTAAAAATCGAATTGAATTTTCGTCACTCAAATTCATCAATGTTTCGAGGAATCGCATCAATTCGCTGCCATCAGTATTAAATTATCCAGCACTGGAAGTGTTTGATGCTTCGTACAATGAATTTTCAAGTATACCACAGTATTTGGGTGCACAAGCTCCTGTTTTGAGAGTGCTAAGACTCAGGGGGAATCAAATTAAAACCATCGAATTCACCACAACAATTACTGCTCATATTTTAGACTTGAGCGAACTTCCCATGCTGACGGAATTCGATGCAAATGTGTTCAATTCAATTGGTTTGTGCATTTTTATGGCCTTTTTGTGTCACTCTTCTTCTTCTCCTGCCTTCTTTCCATGAACATTAGTACAAATCAGTTTGAACTTTATTTTCGATTTAACTCGTCTTTTTGCAGAACCCAAATCCGGCTGTATCGAACTGATAATATCGCACAATCCAAAGTTGCACACAATAAAAAATACATTCGAACGAGTGTCGAATTTGTGTGGCTTAGACCTGAGTTACAATAATTTGAAAGTGATCGATCATAATTGGATGAATTGGTCAGCATTGGACCATGGTGCAAATTTGCAGGGCAATCCAATAGATTGCACGTGTAGTTCACAATGGCTGATTGATTATTTCGTGCCATTGCTTTATGCAAACCCAGAAAATCATCATTATTTATACGATCTTCGATGTGCGTCACCCGAACTATTCAAGGGTCACCGTTTGGTGCGGTATTTCAATCATTTGGAAGCATTTTGCAAACCAGAGGTAATTGAACGACATACATATGTGCTTGACAATAATTGCTAAAAAAAAACTCTCATTTCCGTCTTAATGTTAAACCATTCATTCTCAAAACAGATTCCGCAAGCACGTTTTGGAGCATATCGTAACCTCTATTCTGAAGAAGAAAACGACTATGAACTCCGGTGGAATCAAGGATTCGGCCTCTGGCTTACAGCTGCACTGATTCTTATTTTCATTTCATCATCTATCGGAATGGTTTATGTTTTGTTCAGACGATGGCGTCGAGAACGCGAAAATAAAAGAAACAATCGAAGGTTTCATAATGGGGGAATTCTTTAAAACATTCCACTTTGAATCATCTGCTCTCATGGAAACGTCCCATCCATCAAGATACGCTGGTACATCATGTAGTTCATCATTGTAGCCAAATGAAAATTTCTTCAGAAACTTGAAACCAGAAATAACCGATATTGCGTCGTCAATTTTGAATGCAATCTTGCTAAGATCAAGTTCCGTCAACAGTGGCGCTGCATCTAGGAGTTTTGATTGATCCAGTCTTTTCCCGATAAAATTTGATTTTACGATCAGCTTCTGTACTGTCTTCAGCTTACCGATAAAATTGTAAAATTTGTCACAGTTCGCCTTACAGTAGTAGGCAGAACATTCATCATATACAACCTCATCGACCTGATCAAATGATATTTCACGCAATGGAATTCCACGCCAATTGCTCAAGTTAATACAAAGTTTTTTCACGTTTTTAAAATGAACCGTCTCCTCACTGAAATTGGAGAAATCTGTGTGATCCAAAGTAATATGCAGCCTTTCTAAGTTTTGCAGATTTTTTCCGGCTATTTGAAGAACTTTCATGCCGAAATTCCAATTCAATGTCAAACTTTTCAACTGTGGATTTAAGCATAATGCAGATGCTACATTTTCTTCTGGTATATTTCCAAATAATCTTCTAGTTCCACCAATTTCAAGGTATTCCAATCCCGTAAAGTGATGCTCAATACATTTGAAATCCACTTCGCCGTGTGTGACCCGTAAATATCGCATATTGGGAAAGCATGTTTGAAGGAAATTCAATGGCACTTGTATGAAACTTCTGATTGATACGGTCGTGACGCTCAAAAATGGTTGATTCGATTTGAAGCATTGCACCGGTAAATATTTTAACCCATCTATTTCAATTTCTGTCAAGGATTCAGCACAATATTCAAATGCATAAGCCATTATGTGATCGAAATATTTGTGATCAACCGATTTATAAAGTGTCAATTTCGAAATGTTATGACCGAAATTCCTTAGGAAAATCAAGCTTGCTTTGAAGTCTTCGATCAGAAAACATTCATTTGAAATCTTAAAGCGCCACGATAAAAAACGTAAGCTACGAACTAACACTTTCTTCTTTCCATACTTGATGATGAACGTCATTTCTGCTGCTTTCTTCAGATACTTATTCGATTCAGCTACACTTAAAATATCAGTAAGCTCCAAATATTTCATGACATGCTCAAGACAGTCTAAGTTTACATCAGTGATTTTCGTTGCTTCCGAGATGGTTGCTTCTGATGGTGTGATTGATTCAGACATTTTCCAGTCTTTTTTATTGAAAGAAGTTGTAAAATTATGCTGTTATTTTGTATGAATAAATATAGGTAGATAACTTCCGAAATAGCTTCACTATGGCGATATCACAAACAGAGTTTGACTTATCCGCCAGATATATGCTATGGCATAAAAAA